CATGCATGCCGAGCAGGCCCATATGGGTGAAAAGAATCCATTAATTTTAAAAATTAAAAAATAAGGGTAGCAAGTATCAGTAATGCCATAACCACATTATAATCTGCCCATTATAGCAGAGGATAAGTAGAAACTAGGACAGAAGTAGCCTGTTAATTTATTTTATTTATTTACCAGCGCAAAAAAATCTGTCCCCGACTATCTCGCCACCTTCAATTCTTTCGTAGCTAGTTCCTGTCAAGCAGGCAAAGCTAGAAAAATGTGCCGATACCGGTTTGATCTGAAGTTTGCTGGTAACCAACTCCAATGGTCGAAGATTGGGCGGACAGAAAACCTTGGCAACTACATTGTCGACTTGACGCCACTGTGAGAATCTGGGAAGGCTGGCAGGATCACATGTAGTGGAGTGAGCGAAGCGGATGGTTGACTGCAGAAGCACAACTGGAGAGGAAGAACTGAAGTCAGTAAAGATAACCCGGTGAAGGAGAGTGAGAGGCATTCTTATGCCTTTAAAAAAGAGAATATCAACAGTTAGTTGGTCTCTAACTTTTTCTTCATACTTGTTTCCAGGTCTAGCGAAAATTCGCAATCCATTAAATGGTCGCATTCCATTCGGCCAGTGAAAACTTTGTCTGCTTTGTTTTGGTCATATCACTTAGTACCCTATCTTAAATGACAACTCGAAACATAATTACTTGCATTATAAACATCATACTACCATAATTTATAAGCAAAAGCTTACGAACACCGAGAATGGATATTGTGCTAATCTTAGAGGATATTAAAAAAGTGATGAAGAAAAGATAGTCATATTTTTCTACTGGGGGGCGGATAAGACGCAGAAGAACCTGCAGTTTTGACTCCGCATTGATCTCATCATCACCCCCAGCGGGAATCGAACCCACATTATGTTACATTTTCGACATATCACCACTTCGCTACATTGCCACATGGGCCAGGGGATCACAGGACTATCCTGACATCTCGCATGTCATATTTTGTAGTGTAATTTAATATTCATTATCAAAATCGACTACACTACTTATTTTCGGATTAAGTAGGAGTCGAAATTACCAGTGGATCTCAAATAATAAATGTATTAATCCTACGTCACGTAAAAGGAAGAAAGACTGAACGCTGAATTTTTCTT